AGGAATCAAACTTCACTGAAAGGAGGTATTACTTTTATACTACTTTTAGTCAATCAAGGCTGGTGTTGAGAACCTAAGCAGGGTCAGATTGAGTTAATACTTGGACAGGACACTATCAAGACATACCAGGGCTATAAAATAAATTGGGAAGCTGAAAACTCATCCCAGAAGAAGGGATGGCAACCCACTTCCATATTGTTGCCAAGAAAAGCACATGAACCTGTCCACAACATCACCAGAAGTTGAGTCTGAATTAAAGGGTCTTATTTTGTTTCTGCTGAAATAAGCTTAGAATCACAGGACTGGACAATTAAACCCTACTGCCATATTTGGGTCTCCAGATACAGCAAACATGAGTTTTACATAAATCACAGTTCTCTGGATTCCCACAATGCTAATCAAACCATAGTTAACATTCCACCATGACTTGAGAGAGAGAAAGTAGCCATCTGTCTAATATGATTTAATTTGGATTCGTGCACTAAGCAGGAGGTCAAATCAATATCTAGTGGCTTTTTCCAATTACTGTATGTGAAGTCTGGAGGTCAAGGCCTGAGAGGAAATCTTAGCATATTTTCAAATTGCCTTTCACTGCTTACATTTACTAAAGTAATATTTTCTTATCAAATATTAAAAAGAAGACTCCTGAGAATACTATGATCAGCCAAGAAAATGAACAAATGGATCATGAATCAACCCAGAGTTCTCAGTTGAGGCACAAATGACCAGGCTCAAAGAATCCTACTTCGGACACATTATGCAAAGATCTAACTCTCTGGAGAAGGCTATAATGCTGGGAAAGGTGGAAGGAAAGAGAAGAGGATGACTAGCAGCAAGGTGGATGGACTTAGTTACAATGGTGATGAGTGCACTGTTAGAAGACCTGAAATACCAAGTTAGGGATAGATCGTCATGGAGAAAATCTATATGGTTGCTAAGAGTCAACAACAACTTAATGGTGTATAATCAGTCAATCAAAACTACCATGGGAGAAAGTGTCTGCATTAAGGATGTTTCTGTTTTGATTTCACAAATGCCTGCTTTCACAACTCCTGAAATGAAATATTCACTGGACATTATTACTGCAATAACTTAGCATTTCCCTAGAGGACAATACAATATTACACACGTTGACTGCATTTCCCAAAGGAAACTCTATCTGAAATAGCAATATCAGGAATCCGTGCCTTGTCTGTAGAAGAAGGCAGTGTCTGGTTATGTTGAGGATGCCTTGGTGCTGCTGTGCTGAATTCTTCAATAGCTGGAATACAAAGAAGCAGATGAAGAGAAGAAATAAACATGAATTTCCACCTCCATCTTTCAGCAGAAATTTATTCCAGTGGTGGAAGCCATTTCAGTACTACAGAGGAATTTATTAAAATCACACTTTTGCATATGTATGTCACTCTGAGCTGCTTAGCAAAAGGCAGGACAGAAATCAGGCAAATCAAATATAAATAAATCAGCAAATGCAGGAGTCAGCCAACCATCCGTTTCCACAATATAGTACATACAGAATCCTAAAAAAAAACAACCATTTACTATCTAATGGTATGCTCATTTTTCTGTTCCATAGTTGGTGGGTTTTTCAAGCAAACAAACAAAAAATGGAAAGAAACGGCATTATGATAATAAAATACTGTATTTTAAAAAGCAAATATAGTTTTTAATAGTGTGAAGACAGAAATTCAGATATGGATTTTGTCATTCGTATAAATATATTCTCGTTAACTTTGCCACTGTAATGCTTGTCAAGGACAAATTTACAACCCATTGATTAGTGTAGTAAAATTATTTTCTTACTTATGTTTTCTCTTATGCAGACAATTATAATCATGAGTACAAATATATACCAAATCTAATCTAATCGGATCTGTCACAATATGGAATTACAGTTATATGCCTTACTCTACTTTTTAATGTTAGAGTCTTTTAAGCAAAATAATTTTATTTAATTTTAAGCAAAAGTGCATTTAACATTTTGGGAAGGGTTATCCATTGATGGGTCCTCATTACATATGGCGGGGTAATTAGGTACTTACTGTGCTGTGCCTATTCTAGAGCTCATGCTGGTACTCATGTATTATCTATCCAAAAATGGTGATTAGTTACACCAGTGTTGTCCAAACTTGGCCACTTTAAGATGAGTGGACTTCAACTCCCAGAA